GCTCACTTCAGTTCGTACCCTACTACCCAGACCCATATCCTTTTTCCACATAATACATATCCCCGTCTTTATATCTCATGTCAACTAATAAATTCGTATTACAATTCATTCAGTTTTCCTGCTCTACAGTATTTTTCGAATTGCGAAAACTACGCCAAATAATTAAAAACATTTATTGAAATTTTAATTTTATTTATTTTATTGTTTTGATTTATTATTAATACTTTTAATAATAACTGCATTCGAGTAAAAGTGCCTTAAGGATTAAAAATTACCAAATAATATCTAAAGCTATACAATTGTATGTGAGTAATTATAAACAACGTGTAAATATAATTCGAAATTATTTCGAAATCTACGTAGGAGATGGTAGAGATTCAATAAAATTATAGTATTAAAAAATCTACAATTTTTTAATTTAAATTAAGCTCTGTTAGAAAATACTATTTTGTTTATTTATCGCTAATCAATCCTCTGGAATATTCGCATATAAATTTAATCCTACAGACCACGATTTCGTAAATCCTTAACTTTATAAATGCGCACTAACCAATGTTCAGTTGTGTAAGCTTCTTCCAAAACATCTAATTCAAAATCTTTATTGCCAATTTCAGCCGCACGTACACGATCATAGCCAGATGGTTTTCCTCCTTCAGAAAATATTTGACCAAAACGATAGTAGCACATCTTGTACATAAGACAATTAAGAAAAGTCGATGAACCATCTTTGTCTATACGAAATTCACCAGTGCCAGCATAATAGTCTTTTTCCCTAATATTTGCTCCGCCATCGGTACTACCACCAATTCGTACCATCCATAAAAATTTATTGATATCATCTGATGAATAACCAGTAAGCCCTCCAAATATGACAAGCACATAATCAACATCTAATTCTTGCATTATTTCATAGGCTTTATCCTCAGTAGATGCCATAGCTTGTCCTACGCGTGATATGTGTGTATTATTCCAAGTATTATTATCTACTATAATAGTTCGATTAGCCATAGCAGTTATTTGATAACCATAATCCCACCAAGCCATAATACGTGCATCCTGCAAACAAAAAACAATTCTTTGTAAAAATTTTAAATTTTCGAAAATATATTTAGTGAACTAAATTAAAATCAGTTTAGTAAAATGTACTCATTATGTATCATACTCTTCCTATCAAGAATGTTTAAAGCTTCATCATAAAAACAGTTCATCAATATAATACGTTTTTATAAACAAAAAAACTCACCTCAGGTGTGTTCATTTGTAGCCAGTAGTAAGCTTCTCGAAAATCATCAAATATAATACGACCTCCTTCATGTGACCGTGCACTTAAAACAATACTGGGTGATGAGTAAGCTTCTGAAGTAACCCAAGTACAGTGGAAAGTATATACTATTAACATTATTGTAACAACAGAGACAAATCCGATGGCCACTTCACTCTTTACACCAGTTTGTTGCTCAAGTTTTTTATACTGACGTTTACTATCCATAGGCTTCATCGGTACCGTATCCACACATTTTATGTATTTTGCAAGTAAATGAGATACAGCAATTCCAGATAGTATACACATGACTGGCGCCAACACAAGCATTAAACGAACCATAACTCCCTACAGTAATTATAAATATTAATTATAAAATTATTTATTACAAAATATAACAAATTTACACTTACCGCAAAATATATGCTTGTGACACCATACAATATAATAAATATATTAGAATCTGTTAATTTCGCAAAACAAAAGTAAAGCCCAGCAGGGAAAAGAAACACCAGAATCTGTAAAATTTCAAAATTCTATTTGTTACAATTCAAAATAAACTTCAACTTAAACTAAACTTAAATTTAGTGTAAATTATCAGCGATCAAAGTGAATTGTAATCACTTGGTGATAAACGTCAGTGAGTTTTATATAAAAAACATCAAAACTGTACATTTACGGACATTAAGACGCACTCATTATTGTTAATGTCATCATGAATTATAAAAATGAAAATGCTCATGACAAGGAAAATAGTTTAATATAGGAACATAGTTACCTGTAAATCGAAATAAAATGAAGACCATGACGTAGGCTGATGTTCAGATACTGAAGCTATGATTGGTATATGATTCTTTGCATAGGATGGATCAAGCAAAGAATAAAAACGTCCAGTCCAAGGCGAAACTTTGCCTGATATCATTAGTGCAACCATAAGTACGAGAATTGTCGTTACTGTAGCGGAAACTAAAGTTTTAAAAACTATTGCGAAATTTTCTTTAGACATCCTTGAGCGTAAAAAGTCTACAAAAGCATTTATCTGACAAAGTCCAAAAACTCCTAGTGCCTATTTAAAAAGGAATGATTACAAAAATATTTAAGATTAACTAATTAATTTTAACTTTTATTTACCAGCATATGTTCGGAACTTTGAATTGGTTGAAATCCTACAAACGGTATTTGCATTGATAAAATTGTACCAACACAATAAAGAGTGCTGTATGCTACGTATATACGATGTGAGAAACGGCTTGTAATTATCAGAGTAAGCACGTGTAATGGTATTAAATTAATTAAAAACACATAGCCACCCCATGATGATACCATGTAGAAATAGGCCAATGCAGACATTGCGGACCAAAAAATTGTACCACTTTTTACAGCCTTGATCCACAGATAATACGTCAATAGCATACAAAAGATTGCTATACCTTCATTGTCATAGGAACCCGCTACAGATCTTGATATGTATCCAGGAACGATTGATATAAGACCAGCTGCAACCAAACCTGATCCAGTTGTCTAAAACAAATTACATTTAGATATCTCAGTTATATTTATCAATGTGAAATTTTAAAAATATGTAATTAATATTCAGCTATAATATTAGTACTCACTACATATCATCCTAATGATATTTAAATTCCCAAGTATTAATAATGTATAGCACAAATATACTCACCCCACGTGTATAACCTCAAAATGTATATAAAATTAATTTCTGCTTATACTTACATAGATTTCCTTCGTCAAGGCATAGGTTATTAATGTAGTTAACGACGAGAAAAATGGTGCCAAGAATACACAAATATTACGTATATCCACAGTTATATTTAAAATCGACATTAAACGGTACAATGTTGCAGATGTAATCATTAACCCGGGGTAAATGGTACCTCCAATAATACGTCCCAATGGATACCAAGCGCGATCATCGAACCAATTATGAAATTTATAAAAGCCTTGTTCGGCAAGGAACTTTGTAGTCCTATAGTTAAAATATGGATCGAACTCATGGATAACACTCTCAAATCGCAGCACAGAAAACAAGCGCGTGGCGAACGCTACGAAAGCAAAAGTATAAAGAATTAAAAACAGGAAATTAAGATGTGCTCGTTATAAGTGTAAGTTCACAATAGCGAACTCGTTAAACAATACCATTACCAACACTAGATAATTTGTATTAGAAACTTTTATCTAAATATCTAAAAAATTTTACCTAAATATTCCAAGAATTAACTTATAATTGTAGCAATTATTATTAGATATAAATTAATAAATACAACAAATCAGAACATGTCAACTCCTAATAAACAGTTTTTGTTGATGTCATTTTTTTTGTGTAATCTATTTAGAAGTAATTAAAATTTTGTGTGTAATCTTGACCGTTTGGTTTAGTTTGTTGTCTTCGCTTTACAAAGTAAAATTCCTATTCGATTGCATACAATGATAATCGATAATTTCACAATTCACAATCGCACAATACTGTAGCGAGCGATATTGTGAATAATTTTTATAAGGTGTAGCAAAACAAAACAAAACATATCTGCAACTTTCGGCATTTTCAAAATAAGAAACAAACTTAAGACAAAATTATGATTTTCTGAAAAGATTAACTCTGAGTTGCTCTGAGATTTGAAAAATGATATGCCTGAACGTAGTTGTTATTGCAGTATTAAAAAACATGCTGGCTTTGTCTCTGTAGACTCGGCCACTCTATCATACTATATAGTACTTCCTCACATGATTTGTGAGATTAAATTAAAAGTTTATCGATGAAAACATATTCTCAAGGCATAACATTTTAATTTTTAAAACAACATTTCATGTGAAGTGCTGACTTGGCTTTACTGAATTTAAAAAATTACTGTCTATAAATTGACTTTTTACACTGGGTTTTTAAGAATTAATGTAGCAATCAATGCATTAAAGCTTATATAAAAAATAAGTACATATAATTAAATTTGGAAATTATATCACAAATACAAGTTGTAAGCAAACAGAGCAATACAGTAAGAACCATCGCTATGTTATGATTTTGTATACCAAATAATAAACAGTTCTACAGTTATGTTTTATATATAACTAAGATATTATCTACACTAACATTATAAAATAAATAAATAGAATAAAATTAATTAATAAAACTCAGTTAAAACTTTAAACTTTATAAACATTTAAATAAACTTACATAAAATTGCTGCAGTAATCAATATGACTAGCTTAATAAGATGTTCCTGTTTTTCCCATGCTGGCATAGCCCTCGCCTTGCTAGCATTTTGTGTGTCCAAGGTCATACTCCACTGTAAGCAAAGTTTGCTGAAACACCCACAAAAAAAAAAAGAAACGCCGGCACAAAAGCACGGTGTAGAAAATTAATAAACTATATTACTTCCGCTGCCTTCGACTACATTTTCAGAATATATTCGATTCTGTATTATACAAACAAAAACACTATTTATGTTTACCTTTATGCCTCGTATTCACTAAATCTACGATTTGTTGATTAAATTAAACTTAAACAAACTCTTTTGGAATAAAAGCACAGTTTTCGTGGCAAGAATTATTAACAAAAGCGACGACACAACCACTGACAAATTCTAATTTACAAATGTTGCCATATCATTTCAATCAAAAATTTTTATTTATTATTTAGTTATGTCAAAAAAACTAATTTTATTTATGTGTTATGTATTATTATATCAAATTATTATATTCAAAAGAAATTTTATCTGTTCTTGGTACACTGTTGAACTATTAAAAACTATTTATTAACTTGTGGCCTTCAATTAACTTGTGGCATCATATTTTGTTTTTGTTTCGTTTTGTTTATATTGTTTCTTGTTTGCTCTAACATCATTCCGAGCGCAAAAATAGACACTGCGATATTCGCTCAAACATTGTTCATCCACTGTTTTGTTAAGCAGTTGAGACTTTGTTTATAATAATTATTAATTTTTATACAATTGCGGAAAAGTCTAAAAGGTTATAGATTCCATAATTTTATATAATTGATGTTATAAGATTTAGTGCAAATTTTTAATAAAAGTTCATAAACTGGAAAAAATTGCACAAAAGTTGGCATTTGTCATCTATCTGAAACCAACAAAATCCAAACTGGAATGAAGTACAAAAGTTGAAAGTAAATAATTTGTCTCTAAATACAAACTGAAACTGCACTGAAGTCGCACTGAAAAGCTGTGCTTAAAAATATGTCTTCCAATGGAGATGATGAACACAGCAATAACTATACGCTAATATATGAACTAATAGATAAGTTGGCATTAAGCATGAGTGGTGGTAATAAGATAAAACCTGGGAGTAAGTTATATTTGCAAACAAAACGAGAAACATTGATTTATAACAAGATTATTTTTAGGAGAAATTGTGAAGAATATGTCGAATTACATATCTAATTCACCAATAACGTTTAACAAATTATTGCCATATGATTCCATTGCACTTGAAGCAAAAGTACGTCAGCACATATGCAAGGTGTCTAGCTTAGATTCTGTGATGCCGCATGGTCTTACAACTTCATTTATTACTAATAATTTAGATATTAAACTGTCATCAATCAATCATGGTGGAATCGGCTTTGTAAGCAATGTTAGCCTGTTTCAAAAAATTAACGAAAAATTAAAAAACAGTGTAAGTAACATAACGTTTAGCTACATCATCATAAGTAATGGTT